GAGATGTACCCTAGCTCAGAAAAATGTTATTGAATAGGTTAATGCTGTTGTAATGAAGTGCTTCTTCTAATTTAAAAAAAAAAAGAACACAAAACTGATTTTGTCTCATGTATATTATGGATTCAGGCAAATTATTTAGTACTTTTTCATGTGAATTCCATGTTTGTGTTGTTGTTCCTTATCCACATTGGCAACCAGTCCACCTGCATGTCTCTCTTTTGGTGGGTTATCAAACCTGTAGCCTTGCAAAGCACCCTACCACTCAGCTATATCCCCAGCTCTTGGTTTTTGAGACACAGTCTCACTAGTCAAAGTCCAAGCTATATTCACATTCTCTTTCTTCAAACTTGAACTTTCACCTTCATGCCTGTACCTCCTGGGTGCTGAGATTACAGATATGCCCTACCATGCCCAGCTTAATATATATGCCTTTTTAACCTGGAGTAGTTTTCTCTTTACCTAAAATTACTTTTGCTTTTATAGAGTAGCTAGCTTCTGTAAACAATTCATCAGATATATGACAATTGTATAAAAGCAGATGCTTTAACATTTAAGAGTTAAATTTCAAAGAAAAATATTTGAAGCATATTTGGGTACAATAATGAGGACTTGTTTCTGTGTTTCTTCTGCTTCCTCCACTTTTGTTTTTTTGGTTGACTTAAAGTTTCCTGCTGCCCCAAAGTAGTTGGTGAAGATGACAATTAAAATATGTATAATTTATGTTCCTGATGAAGTATCTTGAGAATTTGTTATTTCATGTCTAAAAGGAAGAAGAAGAATTTTCAGTTCTTGCCAGCTGCCTGGGACTTCTGCCAACCTTTTACCAAACAGATCATCCATTCATCAGTGCCTCCTGTCTGGATTGGCCGGTTCCAGCATTTGACATTATAACTCAGTGGTGTTTTGAGATAAAGTCATTTACTGAGAGACATGCAGAACAAGGAAAGGTATGTAAAAAGATTAGTGCTTGCCATGATGATGATGTGCTAACAGGTAAGAGAATAATGAGAAAATTTAAATTTCAGGTCATCTTTTAGTTTATTTTTAAAATATTTTACTTTTTTTTTTGTGTGTGTGCATGGGTATATTGCCTGCATGTATGTAAGTGCACCCATGTTGTGCAGTGCCCATGGAGGTCAGAAGAGGGCGTTGGATCCCCTGAAACTGGAGTTATGGATGATTGTTAGCTGCCATGTGGGTGCTGGGAATCAAACTGGGTCCTCTGTAAGAGCAGTCAGTACTTTTAACCTCTGAGCCATCTCTCCAGCCCTGATACTTTTAGTTTAAATCAGAGAAAAAAAAAAAATTTTTTTTTTTTTGGTCTTTTTGAAACAACCTGCTTTCATCATCTTTTTAAAAAAAATATTTTATTTATTATTTTTATTTTACATGTATGATTGTATTGCTTGTATGTATGTGAGTGCACCCGTGTTGTGCAATGCCACGGAGGTCAGAAGAGGGCTTTGAATTCCCCTGGAACTGGAGTTAAGGATGGTTCTTAGCCACCATGTGTGTGCTGGGAATTGAACCCAGATCCTCTGCAAGAGCAATCAGTGCTTTTAACCGCTGAGCCATCTCTCCAGCCCCCACAACCTGCTTTCTTATACAACACAGGCCCACCAGGGGTGGCACCACCCACAGTGGGCTGGGCCCTCCCACATCACTCATTAATCAAGAAGATGCCCTACAGACGTGGCCACAGGCCAGTTCAATGGAAACAATTCACCAATCGAGGCTCCCTCTACCCAGATATGTTAGTTGACACTAAAGCTATCCAGCACACATGCTTAAAATAATATTTGAACTGGAAATTAAATGATCATGGCTTTAACTCTTAAATGTGGGCTTTTGCTGCCCACTTGACTAGTGAAGGAATTTGCATAGCAATGACCAGAGAGTGGAGGAATGGGCAGTGGGATTTTGGGGGTGTTGTGATCTTATAGTTCCTCCAGAGAACTAGAGTTTCTGAGAAATGGGGTAATATGATGAAAAGATTGTTCCAGGGGGTATTTCTGGTGATCCTTTGGTAGATAAAGTAAGGCAACAACAAAGCCAGAGATTGTTTACATAGTGAAGAAAATAGGGAATTTTTTTTCTGGTAATAAAAGTAAGAAACCTTTGAGAGAAATATATTTAACTTGGTGATTACATGGCTTATAGATCTTAAATCATTAGCATCTTACAGTTCTTATGGGATCATGCTCCTGCTTAAATATCATTGAGATGCTCCCTTATACATTAAGGAAAATTGAAACCTTCACATGGCAATCAAGGACCTTCACCATCTTGTGTTTCCACAGTAATTTATACCACTCCTGCTACTGCCTTACTCAGATCATAAAAGAATGTTTTGTAAGTGTGCTGTACACTTTAAAACTTCTACTACTGCTCCTGTTCCTTTTATCTAAAACAACCTTCCTACCCTTCTGATGAACTAATCAGTTTTTGAGACTTTGCTAAGATAAATGTTGCCTCTTTGATGAAGATTAGTCTGTCTTTCTTTATTGTCTTATGCCCTTCCGTAGTTCTGCATAACTACACTTCTATCTGTTAACAGCTGCTGTATTTATCACACTTGCTCCTCCTCCCTGCTTTTTCTGATAGGGCTCAACTCAGGGCCTCACACATGATAAGGATGCTCTGCATCCCTGAATGATACTGAGCTTAGCACATGTTTATCACATTTGTTTCTTTAAGGTGTATTTTTGTTGTTGTTTTTTTTTTTGTTTTTTGTTCTATTTTGAGACTATGTAGCCCTGACTGGTCTGGAACTCACTATGAAGATAAGGCTGGCCTTTAAACACACAAAGAATTGCCTGCCTCAGCCTCCTGAGAGCTAGGACTAAAGACTTACACCACTGTGGCTGGCTAATATATCTTAAAGAAGGCTTCATAGAACAAAGATTACTCGTTTTCTTTGAATTTCTTAATTCCTAGAAAGTGTCTGATAGAGATTAGTCACCTAGTAAATATTCATGGAACTATTTAGTGTGACTAGAGAAAAATCTAGAAAAATTACCAGTATTTTTGTACAACTGAAGATAGTAAATAATGTATACCCTGTAGGGAAATTTAACTAACTTGGAATTTTTTCATGCTTCAAGCAGGGAGCTTATTAAAAGAATTGTAACCTGGCACTTATGGATACAAATGATCCAAACAGCTTGAAGTGTGATGAATTTTACCGATTCTAGGAAGGAGCTTCATCTAAAACATTAGAATAGGAATGATGAGCTACAACTATGACTTTCGTTAAAGAATAAACTAAAGGGCTAGTGAGATGGCTCAGCAGTTAAGAGCACTGTCTGCTCTTGCAGAGGACCCGGGTTTGAATCTCAGCACCCACATGGTAGCTAACAACTGCCCGAAACTCCAGTTCCAGGGGATCCAGTGCCCTCTTCTGTCTTTGTGGACATTGTATGACACAGGTGCGCTTATATACATGCAGGTATAACACTCATACATATAAAATTAAATTAGTGAATTAATTTAAAAAGGAATTAGCTAAAGAATTATTTATGTGAAAGGTTAAAACCTGGTTTCAAAAAATGTTTAACTATTTAAAATGTTTGCATTAGGCATGTTTCAAGACAAACCTTGATATTTTTTCATGCTTGCTCAGAGGCTAATATTTTTCTTTTAAGTAATAAACTTACATGTCTTAGAGTGCTTAGTCTAAAATTTCATGTCTATTATAATTGAAGTCTACATGAAGATAGAGAATAATTGCTAAAGTTTTGTTGTTTATAAAATGAGAAAGAGAAAATTGTTAATAAAGAAATAAGTTCCGTTTTTGAAGACAGATTTTCCTCCCTAAAATATAATCCTTTTAAAAATTAAAATATTTATGTATTTGGATGTTTTAGGCCTTACTTATCCAAGAGTCAAGATGGAAATTACCACACCTGTTACAGTTGCCTGAGAATTATAACACCATATTTCAGTACTACCATAGAAAAACCTGTAGCGTGTGCACAAAGGTTCCCAAAGACCCAGCTGTCTGCCTTGTTTGTGGCACTTTTGTGTGCCTGAAAGGACTTTGCTGCAAGCAACAGAGTTACTGTGAATGTGTATTGGTAAGCAGTAGTAAAGAGCATCAAATTCATAACAATTTGAGCCTCATGGATATGGGGTATATGGTCAACTCTCAGCTGTTCACATTTAAATAGTCTATGAATTAAACATTTAGAGATTGTGTGTGTGTGTGTGTGTGTGTGTGTGTGTGTGTGTGTGTGTATGTGTATTTTCCTCCTAATTCAGAAAAGTTAAAAAAAAAAAAAAAAAAAAACTGGAGAAAAAACAAACCTGCCCAAAACTCAGAGTGTGTTTAAGTAAGTAAAACTTCTTTTAAATACAATTTCAGTTCTCCTTTCTTTTGCTATTTTTTAATGAGCTGGAAAACAGTCATCATCTAAGCTGTGAGGGATGCTAGCCTCTAAACTAGGTTGGCTGTAAATTGCTCCCTGGATAATGCTTACCCAAACTTTTTCTAACATGTTAATAGGCTGTGGGAATGGGGTTACAAGTTTAATATAGATGAAATCTTATTAAAAATTTAAATAACTTATTTAGAAGACACTGAAGATGTTTTTAATTTTGCTATGAGAACTATTTGATTATACAATGCATTGTTATGTTTTAAATTTTTTTAGCATTCTCAGAATTGTGGTGCTGGAACAGGAATTTTCCTTTTAATCAATGCATCAGTGATTATCATCATCCGAGGTCACCGGTTCTGCCTCTGGGGTTCCGTCTATTTGGATGCTCATGGAGAAGAAGACCGGGATCTTAGGTTAGGCTTGCTTGGATGTGTCCATGTGTTTAGTGAAGTTTGGTCAGTAGAAACCAACGTGCTATACCATGCTTCCTAATTTAGTTTTTTAAATATTAAGAAGTTCTGACAATTGTTAATTTAGAATAGTTATTTATAGTTTTGAGATAATTTTTCTGTATTCAAAATACACCATATAAAGCAAACAAAATTACTGCAATTTTTACCCCAATATATTAAAGAAGAAATGCATGTGAAATCCTGATTGTATTTATTTTAATGCTTTCTTCTTTCTTTGTATTCCAGGCGAGGCAAACCTCTCTACATTTGTAAGGAGCGATACAAAGTTCTTGAGCAACAGTGGATTTCTCATACTTTTGATCACATCAATAAAAGATGGGGCCCACATTACAATGGGCTGTGACACCTCAGCAATGCATTATATTATCATTTTCATTAAGAATTGGTTTAATCAACAATAAGCTTTAATTTAATTTGGGGAAAATAATACTTTTGCTGAGGGATAAAAAGAAACATACATTATGAAGCCTTTCCAAAATTAGGTGCTTGTAACTACGTTAATGATATAATAATTTTTTCAAGTATCTGGACAACAAATAAGTTAAATCATTCTTCAGTGGTCATTTTTAAGTGCACAACTAATAAAAAGCACAACTTGTCCACAAAAATCATTCAGAAATGATTTTTCCCTACAATGCATATCAGCTATTCACTGATAGAGTAAATGTGATTTATTTGAAATTTTATTGCTCTTTCTGTTTTAATTTGCATCTTCTTAATATAATGCATCTTTTTCTCTGTCATTCTTGTATTGATTTGAGATTTTTGCTGTATGTAATTAGAAAAATGTAAAACATGATTTATGTGAAATATTGTATAGTAAAAGTTGGTCTAATAGTAGAACTTTAAATTTTTTCTTATTGTGAGGAATCTGTTAAAAGTTTAAGGCTTTGCTGAAAACTTAATTCATTCTCAGGAATTTCATAAGTATTCTCCCCAGGTACATAATCAAAATAGCTGTAAAATAGATAGCTGCTGTTTATATAGTGCAGTATATTGGGGGAGGGGCAAGGCATCTGTGGAGTTGGGGAGGTCCTTAAAAACAAAAGTTTGTGAGCTGAAGATGTAGCTCGGTGGTAGAGTGTTTAACATTCACAAAACCCCGAGTTTGATCTTTTGTGCCACAAAATAAATAAATAAAAATAAAATTTGCCATTTCAGTTGAATGAGAGTTAGTGACAAGCAGATTTTACAATAAAATCAAAAGATTTAAGAGCATACACATGGCAGATTTTTTTATTCTGTGCATGTCCACTTTTTATTACCAAATAAGTTTTTATTTATATGGTTAGACTGAAAAATGCTCATTCATCCCAAGAGAGGAATCTTAAGTTTTGGAACTTTCCTATCAACTGTAGACGTTCATCTGTATTGTATTCATGCAGTATAATCACTGCTGGTTCTGTGTGGTTTCATGGAGGGGGTGTTGAGTGATACTGACCCTCATGAGGTAGTCATGCTTCTGCTTCATAGAAACTGCTATGAAAACCTACTTAGGTATGCAGGGTTTTAAAATCAGAATGGGAATAATTGAGCTAAAAATCCACTCAGTAAGGAGGGGAGGGAGATTACAGAAAAACATGTTATATATTGGTACCAAGATTTTTTCCCAAGTGATTCAGTAATTTGATGGTTATTTAAAACAGTACTATCAAGCAGTTCCTAGTACTTTGGATTTCCATGGCTTATTACATAAAATTATGTTTTTACTTATAAAAGTAAACTCAGAAACATCTAATGATGAAATATAAAAATAACATTAGATCCATGTTCTAAAAGTTTTTTAATTTCATGGCATTATAGACTATGAAATGAAAATTAAATGATGGCCTTGCATTAAAATAAGAAAACTGAGTAATACATACTCAGATGTATTGAAAACATTAGAAAATTACCTGTAGCTCTAGAAGAAAACACATGGAAATAGCCTGCTATTTTTATATACATTTCCAAAATATTATAACTTTCCGTAAGACTAGAATGATTCTCTCCAATGAAATCACTGTTATTTCTAACACGTTGCTACTTTTAAAATACTGTATCATAAGTTCAGCCTGTTACATATTTTGCATTGGTCGTTATGAATATCAGACCATTTGTAAGTGTGGTTGAAGAGCAAAATGCTAATTTACATCTCTAGTAAATACTGTTACAGGATTCATGAACTTGACTAATTCTGCAGTTTGAAACTCTGATGCTATATATACATGGTAAAATGTATTCAGACTTTGATCACTACATATTTAAAATGGAATGTTTATGATTGTGCATATGGATGTGAAGTGAAAATATTAGCCTTAACTTTAAAATTTGGGTATTTGATAGTGTTTATTTTGATATTGGTGAATTAGTCACCGGTAAATTTTAAAAAAGCACTTGGTTGAAAATTGTACTTGAATACATATGTGCATGCTGCTAAACTAGAACTTTAATTTTTTTCCCCTAACTTTTATAAGTCCCATTTATAAATCCACTTTTAAAAATAACAGGTCCAAGTTAGAGTGATGTGTGTATATTATTCAAAAAATGTACTGGTGTGATAATCTTGTATGAATGATCATTTAAATACAGTACATTACTGTAGAAGCTAAATCAACCTTTATAATTAAGCAGAAATTTAAAAAACTAGGAATAATTGACATTGTAAGATATGTTAATAAAAACCTACTGTCATTTGGTTTGTGTAAGAGCCTTAAAATGCTTAATGTTTATATGTTTTTTCCAAAGATAATTAACAGTAACACAAGTGAGTGATAATGTAATTAGAAGTTGCCTTAAGGTGGAATAAGTGTAAATGGCTTGTGCCCTTTTGCTTTTTATTTGCAGGGTACATAACCTGTTCTCAAAACTTTTGCTAAGTGTTTGTGGTTTGGGGAGCACAAGGAAAAGATGAGTGTCTAGACCTGTGGAACACTGCTATGGTCCCTGCTTTTTTTCTGTGGGTTCCCAGTGAGGCTTAGAAAATGCAGTGTATTTCGTGATGGCATGTGTTTTGAGTAGTGTCTGGTCTTACTTGAATGACATTTCTCATCATTGTACTTCTATCCTGAAGTTCAGCTAGTGATCAGCGAGGCATCCCTTTTCGCTCTCAGACTTTTAATTTAGTTTTATGCATTCTGCTATTTATTGATTTCTGTGATTTATAAAGGATGCTAACAAAAGCACTGAAGGCTTGGTAGCAACACTGAAGGAGATACAGCCTAAGATACTCTATACCATCTTCAGGATTGTAATTGCTGGCTTTCAGATTCCTTCAGTTGGCTTGTATTTGAGGTCATGTTAGAAAACAGCAAAATAAAACAACAAAAACAAAACCTGTGGTTTTAACCACTAGAATCAAATCTCCAAGATACTTAATTGTGATTACCTGATAGTTGACAGCTGCAGAAAGTGGATGACTGGAGACTGTCTCAGCCCCTCCTTTTCATAGCAGTCCTTTCCTTGGGCCTTATGATCTGCTTGGATTACGTTAAGTACTCCTTAATTCAACAGTGAGGAGCTGGAATGGGCAGCATGAGAGCAACATGATCATCTCTGTCTACAACACTTTGAACTCCCTATTAACTAGGTGTAAATTGAGGGATATGATACTGGAAGTCTCAAGAAGTTTTAAAGAACAACAGATTTATTTGTTTAACTTTATTATGTGTGATGTGGGGGGCGTGCTACAGCAAGCCTGTGGAGGTCAAAGAACAACTTTGTAGAGTCAGTTCTAGAACTTGCACCTTTATGTGGGCTCTGGGGATCAAACTCAGATCATCAAGCTTTGCGCAAGCTCCTTTACCCACTGAGCCATCTTGTCACCCTGAGAGAACAGATTTAACAGAGGCTTTCAGTTTTCTTTTGAAATTGTAAAGAAAATAGCTTCAGTGTTGAAGCATTTAAGTTCATTTATTTAGCACATACTTATCGAACTCTTACATACTATGCACTGTGATAAATGTTGGAAATATAGTGGGAAGGAAGTCTGATACATAATTTTGTGTGTGATTAAGGCTACAAATGTGTGTGTTGGGGGGGTGAAAGGAGTGGAGTAGAAAGTACTATATTGTTGGTTACTCTTTTTTAAAAATATTTAAAAAATTATTTTATGTGTATGAGTATATTGCCTGCATGTATGTAAGCACACCCATGTTGTTTAATGCCTGCAAAGGTCAGAAGAGGGTGTCAGATTCCCCTGGAGTTATGGATGTTTGTTAGCCACCATGTGGATGCTGGAAATGAAACCCAGGTCCTCTGCAAGAGCAGCCAGTGCTTTTAACTGCTGAGCCATCTCTCCAGTCCCTCCATGGGTACTCTTAACTGAACTTGGGGCATATCAATAAGCTTCTGGCCACTAGAGATGTCTAAGATGACCCCTAAATATGTGTAGACAATACTGGATAAAAAGGAAGGGAGGTGTGAGGAATTGCTTTTAGACAGGTGTAGGAACCCATTTCAAAGATTTCAGAGTTGAGGAAGCACTTAAAATTAGGGGCCTGGAAGGAAATCATTAGGACTCTAAGCATAGGTGGTTTTGAGAGGCAGGTAAAATCCAGATTACAGAAAGGTGTTATAAGCCATTCTGAGGATGTACTACTTTTATCAAAGTAATAAAAAAATCAATTTTAGGGCTTTAGACAATCGAATAGTATGGTCAAATTTGTGTTTTGTAAAAGTCAGCTTCATTGTGAGGCCTTTAATAGTCCAGATGCACCGTGACAGCTGATACAACTAAAGGATTTGTGGAAACACAGGAATGTGAACAATATCAGAAGACATGACAGGACTCATTAGTGAGGCAGATAGAGAATACTACTGTGTGTCAGAAACTCAAATGCTGAGGATTTCCTGCTGAACAAAACAGAAAGGGTCTGTGTCTGCTTACATTCTAGTAGGAAATAGGACAGTATAATGCAGGACAACAGGAAGTTTCCAGCAGGTTAAACAGGACTGTGGGAACCAGTGAACCCTTAGCATGGGAAATTCACAAGAGGCTACATGGAAGAAGTGATGTTTAAGCTGAGACCTGAGAGAAGAGCAGAGGTGAGCTATGTGATGGAGGTTAGGGAAGCCAGATGCATTCTAAAGGGTTTGGTATGTAGGCCTTGAAATAAAAGCACAGGTTTTCAGGCCCTGAAAGAAGTTCATTGTGGTGGAAGTATAGAAGCTAGACCCACGTATGATGGGATGATGCAGTACAATAGGCAGAACCTAGGTCATGGCCTCTTGACCCATTTTACGGATTTGGGTCTTGATAGCCTTTATTTTGGTTTTAACCTCAGCTCATAGCAGAGGTCAGCAGACTTTTTCCATAAAGGACCAGATGGTTTCTGTCACACTGTTCAACTTGGTTGAAAGACAAAAGTATCCATAGTCATATATAAGTGACTGGATAACTTGAGTTTTGCATTCAGTCAAAATGTACAAAAGCAGGGCTTGGTGGTCCTTGATGTAGGAGGAAAGAGACAGAAAATAGAAAAGCATATTGTAAGTTTAGTTCAGAAGTCTCAGAAGAGATGATGCTTTATTGTAGGACAGTGACAGAAAGCATCTTGTGTTCTGCTCTTGGAGTTGGTAGTGTTACTTTTAAAAAGCAGTAGAGAGATCACTATAAAAAGTTGAATGATGTGCAGAGCGTAGTGGTGCATACCTTTAATTCTAGCTCTCAGGAGGCAGAAGCAGGCAGAGCTCTGAGTTCAAGGCCAGCCTGATCTACATAGGGAGTTTCAGGCCAGCTGTTACAAGGAGACCCTGTCTCAAGAAGACAAAAAAAGTTGAATTATGTGCAGAGATTTTGACATTGAAAGTGAGAGTCCTCGAAATTCCTGTTGATCACCATATATTGTTGATGTATTTGAAAGTGAGGTGCTCAGGGCTAACATTCTAAAACCAAGAGCTAAGAGTGGGGGTCAGTTACAAATGGTAGCTGAAGCAGCTGTAAGAAGAGAGCCTGGATAATGCCCTAAACAGGATCTTCATTTAGAGGACAAGGCTAACGAGGGGAGGAGCAGAAAGAATGAAACATTGGCTTGTTAAATCCTAGAAGGAAGGTTGGTCAGAAGGAAGGATGGTTTAAGAAAAAGAAGTAGCCAGTATCAAGTGCTGGGAAGAGGTTCAGATAGGAGTCCAAAGGGTACGCTGGTGTTTGTGACAAAGGAAGTAATGATGTCTTTGGTAAAACAATCTTGGCGAACTGGTAAGAGCTCAGCTTCTGGAGGTAAAAAAGATAAGTTTAGGAGTAATGAGTAGAACATAAGTTTTCTAGCTCTCCCTAGCATCCAGGACTTGTCCTGTCTGCCTAACACCTGACCATTTGTGCTTCAAAACCTACTTCCCCCAAGAGTCATGCTAATTACGAAGGGAAAGATGAAAACATGGTAGACACCAATTTAGGCAAGTTATTTAAAGTTCATTATCACCAAGAATAAAGCATTTTGACTTCCTGAATCCCTTTATATGAGCTACCAAGAAGTATACATGGGCTGGGAAGGTGGCTCAGGCAGTAAAAGTGCTTGCCTTGCAAACATAAGGACCCAACTTTGGATCTGCAATAGCCACATAAAAAGCCAACTGCAGGGACTGGAGAGATGACTCAGGAGTTAAGAGTACTTGCTGCTCTTATAGATAGCTCAGGTTTGATTCCCAGCACCTACATGATGGCTCATGACTGTAATTCCAATTCCAGGGGATCTGACATCCTCTTTTGGCCTTTGTGGGCACTAAGCACACATGTGGAGCACTTACATGCATTCAGGCAAAACATTCATAAAATAAAAATTTTTTTTTTTTTTTTAAAGAGCCAGTTATAGTAACACATGCCTGTAATCCCAGCGCTGGGGAGACAGGATGATCTCTAAGGCTTGCTGGCCAGCTAGTCTAGCTGAATTGGTGAGCTCTAGTTTCAGTGAGAGACTCTATTTTGAATAAGGTGGATGGCCAGTGAGATGGCTTAGTGGGTAAAGGCACTTGTTACCGAACCACATGAGCCTGACAACTTGAAATCAATGAGGAGCCAAGAACCAATTCCACAAAATTGTCCTCTGATGATAACATAAGTACTATGAATGCTCCCCTCTTAATAAACACAGAGTAATAAAATAAATTTTTAAAAGGTGGGAAGTGATAGAAGAAGACACTGATGTGGGCCTCTGATCTCCACACATGTCCACACATACTTGCCCCCACATGAACACAAAGAAAGTACACACATTTAAGAAACTAAGTGCACCCATGTCATGCATTACACAAGGAGATCAGAAGAGGGCATCGGATCACCTGGAACTGGAGTTACAGATGGGACTCTAACCTGGGCCCTCTGCAAGAATAGTCAGTGCTTTTAACTGCTGCGCCATCTCTCCAGCCCACATTTTTTTTTTTTCATAACTAAAAATTGCACAACTTGATCCCAATTCTGTGAAACTGTCAGACAAACTCAAACAGAAGACTGTTCCTTGAGACAGCTTATTACTAATGCTCATCTAAAGTGTCAGGATAGAAGATGAGAAAAACCTGAAGTATTTTAACAGAGGAAAGGACTAAAGAGAATTAACTGATACAATACAAAATTGTGAGTAAGACCCTGACTTCAAAAATGGGTATCTGAAAAAACTGGCAAAATTCAAGTAAGGCCTTGGGGGAGGAGAGCCAAGGCTCTACAGGAAAGCCTATACTCTCCATGCCATTCTGCAAATCTGA